ATATATATATTTGTTGGATAGATGTGAGTTTGTGACCCTGGTTTCACGCTTTAGCGCTTTTAATAAGTACCATATATATAATATGTAAATAATTATACATATATATTTATTTATATTTATATACACTTTACACACACACACACACACACACACACACACACACACACACACACACACATATATATATATATATATATATATATATATATATATATATATATATAATGTTAAGCATAAAAGGTAAAGCATAAAATAAGCTAAAAGCTTAAAATATAAAATAAACAGACGGCTCCAATGCCAACAAAGCCTAAATATAAGAATTGATATATATATATATATATATATATATATATATATATATATATATATATATATATATATAAATAAATTTCTTAATAATTAATGGATTTATTTTTAATCAGATATTTTTATGACTTCAAACGCCATTTTTAGTGGATGTCTCTATTTAAAATAGTCACCCCCCACTTTTTTATAAACAGTGTCTATTCAAGAGTGGCTCGTGTTTCCAATACGGGTATCCATTAATTATAACGATTCAACCATTAATAATAATAATAATAATATATATATATATATATATATATATATGTGTGTGTGTGTGTATGTGTGAGTGCGTATATATGTGTGTGTGTGTGTGTGTGTGTGTGTGTTTTGAACAATAAAGAATATTCAAAAATTAAAATCTTCACACACACTGGGTTATATATTAATATTCTTTCGTTTTTATTACTTCAGTTAGATTCCTCGTCTAGTTTCGGTCAACATGGCCATCATCAGTAGAAACAAAATCTGCTTGTAGGTAGCAGTGAACTGCAGAAATGAATGTCTTGATGGAGAAAATTAACTTTTGTCTGCAGTTTTCGTTTGTTTTTTTTATTTTTATAATCATATATATATATATATATATATATATATATATATATGAGTTGATAAAGATTTCATAAAAAATAAAGATACGAGGAAATTTGTACTTCTTTGTTTTAAAAGAACGTATGTTCCAGAGCACTGAGTATAGATATCGCCTGAATGTCGGGGATCGAGCGCTTTCATTCCGGCATCTGATCATTTACAAGATCCGGCATGATGTAGGTGTATCGTCTTTCTTACATTCAAATACTATATTTTTTTTAAATTTAGCTATGTCCTTTATACTTCGTGATGTGAGGGCGAGCGAAATTCTTCAGCGAGCGAACATATTCAAGATAAAAAAAAAGAAGTTCCAAAGTTGGAGAAAATTTTATTTAGTTATCGATTTGTATATAATATAAATATATATATATATATATATATATATATATATATATATATATATATATATTATTAAGTTTTTAATATTTAGAATAATTTTTTGTCATACTTATTATATAGCATACGCGTGTTGATTAACAGTCTTTGTCTAAAATTGGGGAAGATCTTATTTCCAAGCGATAGACGTCTTATGATGTGGATGCGAACTGTACTGTGAGCTGCTAGTTACCAGCTTAACCGGCAAGATAAAGAATTAGTTGTGTGTTCTACGTACACATTTCTGACTTAAATAATTTTAAAATGTCACAACAAAAAATGTAAAATACCATAACTTCAATCAAATAAGCTTTATTTCAAATGCTAAATTTTAGAAAGCAATATTGAAAACAAAGATATGAAATATATGAATAAATTTAAAAATATAACACTTATATTTAAAATTTGCTATATCCGTAAGTTCTCCGTATCGTTGATTGAGCGTTTGTAGAAATTGAGAGTGTGGGCATGGGGTGACTATCAGTTTCCCGCGTCAAGCGATGTTCAGACTGCAGTTCGATATATTTCCTAGAAGAAAAATATCGATAATCACATTTCCAGAATAAGATAAACACTAAAACAAAAAGATGTGAACTCCGTTCCAAATGCGAGCACGAAAACAAGTTTCTTCGACGGCAGCTAAAACTAAGAAGATTGAATAAAATGGTATAACTTTTAATCAAATAAGGTTCATTTTTAAATACTAGATAACATAGGCAAAACAGATAAATGAAATATATAAATAAATATAATAATAAACCTAAAATGAATTAATTAATTAAATGTCATGACTATAAATAGTCTAAAACATTTAGTCTTAAACAAAAGAACAGTGAAGTATTTCCTCGTTCTCCCAGTTTCTTTACCCACACAAACACCTAAATAGAGGGCCCGTGAAATGAGTAGTAAAACAGGGTCTCTTCGAACTTGAAACAGACAGTCACAATGCTATGTTGATATTTGTGTTTCACACAAACGAACTTACTATATATATATATATATATATATATATATATATATATATATATATATATATATATTGTGTTTGTGTAAAAAGGACATTGTGAATAAAGACAAAAGGAAAGCTTATCGTAGCCGACGGGTTTCGTCCTCCGAGTGACTTACCAAGACAAATGAAAGGATTTTATTTTGTGACAAGTATTTATATAAATGACCAAAAATGTTATTGGTTTTTCAAAGTTTGAAGGTATTAGAGTGCTCATGAATGTTCAAAACAAGGATAATATTGTCTTCTTATATTGTCTTTGTGATTCATAGGGTTGATTCAAAGGTAATGATTTTTTGACCCCCTTAATTTTAATCGTTGTTCAGATAATTATTAGGTTGGTGCAAAAATAATGTCGTTTTTTGACGTTAAGTTGAACGTCAAAAAACGTCATTATTTCTGCACCAACCTAATATATGCGTTGTACCCGATTGAACACCAAAGAGCGAGAATAGATTTTTAGCTGTACGTATGTATGTATGTATGAATAAATAAAGACAAAAGGAAAGCTTATCGTAACCGACGGGTTTCGTCCTTTGAGTGACTTACCAAGGCAAATGAAAGGATTTTATTTTGTGACAACTATTTATATACAAAAGCAATAATTTTATTGTTAATTCAAATTTTTTTAGTTATGTCAATATATCTGCGACAGTTTGTTATCTATCTCACTCTCTCTCTTTCTATATCTATCTATCTATAGAGAGAGATTACATAGAGAGTGATAAATATATATTACATTATATATATATATATATATATATATATATATATATTAAGAAATGGACAAAGTCCGACAATTTATTAAAGACATTTTTATGTTTAACATTCTTTTTATAGATACAAGTATTTAAGTAAATTCGAATCCTGTCAAAGGACGAATATTTTCTATGAAAATTTCTCGGACATTCAGGCCGGTAAATGTTATTTAATACTGTTTATTATAAACAGAGCATTTACTTAAATACTTGTATCTATAAAAAGAATGTAAAACTTTTATATATATAAAATATATATTATATATATATATATATATATATATATATATATATATATATATAGATAGATAGATACATATTTTACATTATATATATAATTACATTGACGTAATTTTCAGTTGACAATATGAATATAATAGCATTTTCTAAATTCTTCCAGTTGCTAAAGAGATTTTAATTTTTTTATTATTAGTTACTTTGTCTTAATAAATTCATTTCTGTTTTTGCCTTGAAAAGTTTATATTAGACGAAACGCGTCGGCTAATATTAGTTTTCCTATTGTCTTTTACACACACACACACACACACACACACACATATATATATATATATATATATATATATATATATATATATATATATGTATATATATATATATAACATTTTATATATATGTAATCAACGCCGTCGAACAGGATATTCTCGTAGGCTAATCGCCTATGTAGAGATTTTGATTCACTCGCATCACACTTGTTGCCCGTTACCAGTGTACTGTGTAAGCTATGAAAATCACACCATTGTAATTTTTTTATTAAATATCTGCTCTCTGTTGGTGTACCTTCAGAATGAGTGAAATCTTTGGCAGAATAGGGATAGTAAAATGACAAAACTTATTTAGAGTTTAGGACAGGTAATTTTGGAGAGTCATGATCGCCTGCACCCTGAAAGGAACACGGCACATAGAAGAATTCAGCCTCTAGTATTAAAAAAAAAAAATAATTTCGAAATTTTGCATACATATAATTAAAAGACTTCGTCTCAAGAGATTCTCGTAATAAAAAATGTTATTTTTTTTCCGGTAATTGCCTGCCACAAAGAATATTTCCTTTTATTCGTTTAACGTTTCTGGATTTCTGATGTGAATCCTTGTCTTTGTTATTAAGTCAGGCTAAGTGCCTACGTCTTTCCGAAATTATAGATTTATTTCAATCTAAAAAAAAAAATGACAAATACAGAAAAATAGACACTGCTTAAAAAGAATTAATTTCATTTTGTTTTTACCACTTTTCTTTTGTCTATATTTTTTGCAACAATCAACCCCTCCACTTACGAACAGATTTATATCTTGTCCAACATAAATTTAGCAAATATAGATATCTCTATTGCTAATTTTTATATTCACAGAACGTAATTTACAAAAATTCGAAAAAGAATTTAATAGCGGGGTGTTAGCGGAAAAGTACCCCCACCAAAAATAAAAAACAGAAAAAGAAAAGTAAAAAGAATAAGTATTTTTAAATGTTATCTCATATTTACTTATTTTCATTCTAATTTTTTCGTTGATTATTTGCCCTGTCCACTCACTGCTGTGGATTGACGGCCTGATTAAAAGTTGCGATAAACAGATGAAAGTTCTAGACTCAACGTCAATAATGGTTGACAGTACTTTATAAAAGTATAAATAAATATGCAGAAGAAAAAAAAAAAGAATTATAACGCGTAAATAAACGTTAGATTGCTGTTTTTCGAAAATCTGTGATGTGGCTTTGATAATAAAAGCCTATTTGAGACTTACGTCTTTTATTTTTCTTCGGCGAAGAAGGAGAAAGATAATAAAAAAGGAAAGAAAACTCACAAAAGTTTGAAGACGAGATGTCGCTTTATAATATTTTGGAGTCGAAAATCGCAGAGTGCATTCTAAGTAAAAACCACAACTTGTTACCAATGAAAAAAAGAAATATTTTTATTCAT